TTCTACCTTTTCTTCCTTTTCTACCTCCTCTTTCTACCCTTCCCACCTGTCTTCCTCCCCTTCCTCCTTCCTCTTTCACTTCCTCTTCATTTTTCTGTTCCTCTTCTGACTACTTCTTCCTTTTAAGGAACTTGGGTAATATGAAGTAAGCATGAAGAAGAAACCCCCTTCTCAGGCTTTAGGGACCTGCAGGAGGATGGTCCGCCTGTTCTTTAAAGTTGGGCAAGCCCCATCAGGTGGCTGCTACACATTCTGCCTTCCATTTGATAGCTACTCTTTTACTATACAATGATGTCTATTTTTGTGTAGTTGTCTCCTGATGACCTCCAAGAGTGGCACATTTTTAACCAATTCTTCCTTTCATCTCTGCATTTTGTCCTTTCCTTTTTGGTCCCTGAATGGTTGAATTTTCTGTGGTGGCTGCTGTACTAAGAGGCTGATCTCACCAGGGTCCCTAAAAAAGGCTCTTGTGTGGATTTTGATGCTGAGACTTCAGCTTTGACCCCTGCCGCTGCTAAATGCCTTTGGTGGTAAGGAGACCAAGAGCTATTCTGTGGTATCAATGGACACCCAGATTTGAAGACAGCAGAGCCCACACTGCTGCTTTGGGAAATAACTCTTTGTCTCTTTGACATGTGAGAGAACTAATTATATTATCATCACCATGTCCTCTCTGTCCACATCTTCCAGGATGGTGGGCAGCTACCATGACCTGTTATGACACTTTTCATAGTGTTTCCAGAGACAATGCCTGGAAGAAAAAGACCAGAGTACAGGACCTGTCCTAAAATTGCTTGGAGGAACAGAAAAACAGTCAGGCTTACATATTTCTTCTTTCTAGCTAAGGTTGTTTGTTTGTTTGTTTGTTTATTTTTAAGAAGGTCAGCCACCAGGTGTGATGTATCACACCTGTAATCTCAACACTGAGGGAGGCAGAGACAGGTAGATCTCTGTGAGTTCAAGGACAGCCTGGTCTACAAAGTGGGTTTCAGAACAGACAAATCTACACAGAGAAACCCTGTCTCAAAAAAACAAAAACCAAAACAAACAAAAAAACAAAAAGTGTGCGAAAGTTCTTCTTTGAGTCACCAATAAAGCAAATGTTTTTCATGGTCTTTAGGGAAGGACAGTGGCTATCAAGGACTTCTCTGTGCCTGACTCATTTTCTCCAGTTTGAAGAGGCAGCAAGCTGGAACACAGGGCTGGGAATACACAGTGAATTTGACCAACACTTCAGTTTTGAAGTACTGAGGTGGTGGTGTGAATTTGTACACTTGTAAAACAACATTGATCTCCCAGAGTTGTCTTGTTGGCGTTCTTTTTGTCTTCTCTTCATGTCTAAGAAAATGACTCTCTGAGCTTCTAGGCACACTGGCCTGGGTAGAGAGCTTGAACCTGTGAACTAAAGTCTAAAAGAGGACTGACTGATTGAAGGAATTTGCTGTAGCAGTGGTCCATGGCCCCCAGAACACTGGCCTCTCCCCCCAGAAGAGAAGAAGAGGACAAAGCCTGCTAGATATCTTAGTTTTTGTCACAGCAAGGAACAGATCCTCTGTCACAGTCATGGAAGCTACACTCTAGGGGAAGGTCTCATTTGGCTACCGAGGAAGCTGATGTAGCCTCCTCGTGAGGCTTTCTTGGTTCTGATTCTGGAAGTGATACATTTCCCATGAGGTTGCTTGTTTTCCTTGGCAAAAGTCTACTGTCTACTGCCATCTTTGCTTCTGGAAGAGGGAGCTGAGCAATGCTGGTTGCCCAGTTGCCCACTCTGGGTGCCAAGCATTTCCGTACAAACACTGCACAGTATAACCTGTGCACCTGAGTGGTGGTATCTCCTTGCTCCCCTTTTACATGGTGTAGGAGATGAAATTGCTGAAAACTGAGCAAAGGACCTACTTTCTATCATGCAACACCCAAAGTGATGAAAATAGGGTGCAAAATGTCATGTTCCAAGGCCAGATAGCTGGTCATGTTTTCAAATTTCTCACTTTGGAAGCCACTGGAGTGTATACTCTAAGTATGGTGATGGGGAAAATAATGATTTGATTTGATCCAAGCTTGGCCCTTGTGTTAACATCCAGCATTTTTGTTTGTTTGTTTATAAAGCAGAAATGGAATTGGGTAAAGGCTACAATCTGAGCAGGAACACACCTAACTCTCTCCCTCAAAGTGGTCTCAATATAGCAGGATGCAAGGTAAGAGGATAGATAGGATAGAGAATGCTACAGCAACCTTACTGAGCACAGCGCCACATGGTGCCATTGAAGTCCACTTCCAAGAGATGAAACTCAGAACACCCAACAAGAATTAAAGCCTAGACTCCTGTGAGCTATTGGAATGAGAAATGTACTCAGGCATCAGAGCTGAGCAGCTTGTCAAGCCAGGGGCTGGATAAAAATCTCACACTGTATAATATCTCCTCTCAGAGCTGGTAGCAAGAATACATACACAGACACTGGCCCAAGTTTGAGATGAGAGTCTTAGGGGGCATAGCCACACATGCCTGGTATGGAGGTCCCAACAAGCACCAACCCACATTGCCTACAAATTCTGAGGTAGGAGTGGAGCTACAGTTCAAAAGTAATCAGAGCTCAGAAGCCATCAGGGCAAACTTACTAGTGACCACCATTCCAGGAACATGCCTGCACTCTGTGAGGCATTTCTGTGAGTCCAGGGATGTAAAATGTTAGGAAAGTGAGCCCAGATCACATGTGGGAACTTACCACCAAGAACTTTTTACCAAAATGACTACTTCATATCGGATACATCAACAAGGACAGAGCAGGCCTTCGATCATTTTAAAGGAGAAAGGAAAGTGACATAGCCCAAATTACACAACATGAGTCAACAAAAGTCATGGCAACATGAAAATAGTCACTGAAGGAAAGTAAGTAGGCTGGCTTGGAGATTCCCTTTCCCTCGCTCTTTATTGTCTGTTGGAACATCTTTGATGACCTTGTCTCAGATGACCTTGAATCCAGGTGACCAGCACAGCCTGGCATTGAGCAGGAGCAGAATGTTGGTGTTGGTCTTATTGATGGTCTACCACTTTGAGTACCCTAAAGAGGTGCTGCTCCCATAATCCTCCAGACATGGTTCAAAAATGGCTGTTGTCAGGTCCCTCTGCCCCAGTGGGAACTGTGGCCACCGGCTAAAGATGCTCTGGGAAATAGCAGGTGTGAACAAGCAGCTGGTTTGTTTTGCCTGGTGTGACACAGTGGAAAAGCCCAGTGTGTACAGTGCATCTTATTACAGAGCCAGTAGAGACAGGTCCCCTCTGAGGGCTGGCTCACTGTTACCAGCCCCCTTTCTACAGCATCTCTCTAGACATTTCCTGTCATGTCCTTTTTTTTGTGTTCCCTAGTCCTGTGCTAACGAGGATCTTTGAAAAATGACTGGTATGGTAATGATCTACGGAACTTACCGGAGATAGCAATTAAACATGGTTAATGGCTGGGGTACACTGACACATTAAGAGGTCTGCAGACAGCGATTTATGAAGACAGCTCTGCCGCCTACTTGGTACCCGATGCATTTTTCTAGTTTCCGCTTAGGCAGGCTGGTCTGCGTTTGGAATGATTACCAGGCCTCTTTCAGTATCTCTCACTGCCAGGCCACCAAAAAAAAAAAAAAAAAAAAAGCATATTAACAAGTTTTTCGGTTCCTCCTGGTGTTCTAGTATCTCATGGTCCTGAGGTAGGTTTTGTCCTCATGAATCCATGTCAATAGTTCAATTTTTAGGAAAAAAATAAAAAGGAAAAAGGTGGTGAAAATGAATATCAAAAGAGAAAGTGCTAAGATCTAGGGAGATAGATGGCTCAATTGAAAATATTCTTGTCATCCAAGCATGAAGTCTCTGTGGTTTTGTGTCCAGCCCCACATAAAATTCCAAGCTTGTAGCTACTCTAGTTAGCGCTTCTATTGTTATGACAAAGCAGCATGCCCAAAGCAACTTGGGAAGGAAAGGGTTTACTCTGGCTTGCTGGTTACAGTCCGTTGCACAGGGAACTCAGAGCAAAACCTCAAAGAAAGAATCTGAAGGCAGAAATTCAAGCAGAGGCCATGGAAGAGTACTGCCTACAGGCTTCCTCTTGATGGCTCATTCAGCCTGCTTTCTTATACAACACAGGACCACCTGCTCAGGGGTAGCCCCACCCACAGTGGGCTGGGCCCTCCTGCAGCAATCAGTAACCAAGAAAGTGCCCAACAAACATGCCCATGGGCCAATCAAATGGAGACAGTTCTTCAACTGAATGAGACTCCATCTTCTCGGGTGACTCTAATTTGTGTGAAGTTGACAAAACCTAACCAGTACTTGTGTCACACACTTATAGTCCCAAGGTCAGGGAAACAGATACTGGGGAGTCCTGGGGCTTATTGGCCAGCTAGTCTAGCTGTATTGGTGAGCTGACTCCACCGTCACTAAGAGATTTTGTTTCAACAGTAAATTGGAGGGGTTGAAGAAGACAGAAGACATTGATCTCTGCGCTCTACATACACAGGCACACATGAGCCTGTTCATCCTCTCACACAGGCATACAGAAATTTTTATCCACACACATACCAAGAAAAATTGTAGATTTGACATTAGAGATGTTTTATAGGTATACAAGATGACTTGATAGTAATAATTTAAATTAATTACTGGGCTTCACTGCCCTAAACTTTGCTTGATTTCTGGCTATAACAAATATTCTTCTTCCTGAAGGGAAAAAAACAGCCTACCTCACCAGTGGTCAGCAGGTTCCAGGAACATCACTTCCTTTATCCAGCATCCTACCTCTGTGACTTGTAAAGAAACCAACCCAACTTCCAGTGGCACAACAGAGCTCATAGATGCCACATTCTTCAATATCTGCACTTCCTCTAACATTTGGATATGTTTTCATTTGCTGGTCTGGGCCTTGTAAAGACCCCACTAAGTCTAAAAGGAGTGTTGATAATTCAATTTATAAACCAACTTTCTGAGTAATCATTATGATATTCTTTTCTCTTTGTAGCCAAGAATGTATGCTCTCTTATCTTTGATGGTCCCTGACACTTTTACATCACAAGACTCAAAGCAGAAGTGTCCAGACAATTAGGAGATAACTCAAGCTGCTGAATTTGAAAGCTGGGACATGACTGGTGGAAAATCAGTAGAGGTGAAGACCCTTTCGTGATAAATTGTGAGTGCATTTGGACCATGGGAATAATGTATCTTTGGGCAAGACAATGGGTAGCTTCTTGTTGATACCTCCTGATTGCTATCTGGTGAATCTCTGAAATAAGCACTTTGCTCCCACAGGGTCATGGATAGCATGAGTATCTTGAGTGTCCTAGGGACATCAGTGATATGACACAACGTGTGGAGGAGCCCCTCTGCTTCTACTGGAACCATAATTCAATGCACAGAAAGGACCTCTGCGTTGGACTCAACTTTGACGCATCCTGTCTATAGGGATATGGAGTATTTTTGGGGAAACACTGATGCTAAAGAAACTACAGCTTGTCTTCAGAGTTTGGATCATTCTGAACTACATGGACTTATGTTCAGTGAATTTCATGTTCTTTGGAAATACGTCCTGTCGATGCTGGTATTGAAAAGAAAGATAGAGAAGACACTCTTCCAGACAAGCAAAAGCAGAAGACATGACCTTGGCTCTGTGAGCTACGACAGAGAGGAACACAGCGAAGGCCTCTGGAAACTTCCAGACAAGTGTGGGTGTGTTTTGTCAGATGCCAGAAAGTGGGTACTACAGAAGACTTCCTGTGTTTCCTGTGGATAAATACTTACACAAAACTATTTATTACTGTAATGCAAGCAGGCTACAATATTTCTTATAAATTTCATTTGTTTTAACAGTTGCATTAGTAATTTTGCTTTTGCCTGAATCCTAAGAGGTGTTTTGTTGCTGTTGTTGTTATTGTTTGTTTTTGTTTTCTTTTTCAAATAGAACCAAATACAGGAAAGAACGAAGAATGTGACCATTGCCTGGTTCTCTAGGGCACTGGGAAGAGGTTGCAAATGGTCTCTAAAGGATGGAGAGGTGACATGAGTGGTCGCTCACAAGCTTGAGGCTTTAGAGGCCATCAGGGAGTCTGCCAACAGCTGACTTACTCCGCTTTCATTCACTCAGGATGGCTTGGGATTTCCTCCACCAGTTCTCAGCAGTCGGTTATTAAGGGGGAAGAGTAACAAAAGAACATCTCAGCCACCGGGCATTCTGCATTTGTGGGCGTGGATGGAGGAAACCTCAGCGTAGCCATTGTTAAGAAGCCGGCAGCTGGCAGCTCAGGCCAGCTGCACCGGCTTCACGGCTTCACGGCTTCACGGGGGCTGCTCCCAAGCTGCTGCTTTTCCAGCCTCATTCAAGGCCAAGTGGGACCATGTGCACGCTTGTCGTCCCATAGGTTTGTAGCGAAGTGGGAGGCCATCTAAAGGGCACACAGCCTACCAGGTTAGACTTCAATTTGCATGCAGTGTCTCGTCTCAAGGTCAGTTTTTCCTTGGACCAGAAGTTAGCTTCTGTATGTACATATGTGGAGGTGCATGTGTGAGTGAGTGAGTAGGAGGAGGAAAAGGAAGAGAGCGAACACTTATTTATTCCCAAATCTGTTATTGGGAAATATACTTTATGGCTGGTACTGTCCCCTGGGGTTTCTGTGTGGATTAATATGCTTCAGGCACACACACACATGCACGAACGCCCCATGCCCACCTCCATCCTGACATGATAGATGGCAGGCTCGACCTGGAGCCCAGAAGGTCATACTGTGTTAACAAATGAATCTTGACCCATTCTTTCACTATAGCCTCCAGGAGCCCCAGACTGCTCCTCATTCCTTTCCAACTCAGCCTCCCCCACCCTAAGCAGCAGCTTCCTTTGTTAAGGACCCAGAGGGCAGCTGCTGACTCTAGAGCTGAAGGGAGGAGTAGAGGAAGAAGCTGGTACAGGCCTGACCAGACCTAGTGGCAGGCTGCCAGCTAACAGCCTCCAACAAGCTCCTCTGTTCCCTAGGTAGATTTTTCTTTCATGGATGCCATACCTTTAGAGAAGGGCGGACAGTCTGGGAATCAACTGGACCCTCACAGATAGTATATACAGTTAAAAAATTCTAGACAGCAATCATCCTGTTAAAACTGTACATTACATTACTTTAAACAGGGCTCTGGTGTCCTGCAATGTTGCAAGGCTGCTACAAGGAAGCCGGCCTTTGTTATCCTCCACGCTTTTCCTCCTGCAACCCTGTCCGGTCTTTGCTCTGCCTGACTCAGCTGGTGGAGGCCGGTGAATTATGCATCACTGAAGGAGAGAGGTTGAGACTCTGAGGCTGTGCCTTCAGCACAGGGAGCCCTGCAGACTCGCTTCTGCCTCCCTCCTACCAAACCACTATCCAAACAGCAGGCTAAGATGGTGGAGCCTATGGAAATGGGATGGGGACGCCCATGGGATCATAGCTACAGTAGAGACGTGGTCCAGGTCACCCTCTTCCATCTAGCACAGGGAGCTCTGTCTGAGAGCCCCTCCATATGGTGGAGCACTGTTTTATTTTATTTTTTGTTTTGTTTTGTTTTGTTTTTTTACATTAAATGCTTTCATTTGAAATGAAGTGGGCTGTGCGGCTTCATTCCTGAAAGTCTCAGGAAAAGCCCTTTTTGTCTTTTTTTTTTCTTTTGAAAAGACGATGCCTTCGCCTCCAAAGCTGTGTTGGCTCTCTGAGCCATGGTGGTGTGTTCTCTCCACTTCAAAAATACACAGGGACATGTGGAAGTATTCTAATTTTTTTTGCAGATCCCAAACCATATGCACCAAATTTTCGCAGACTTGATCTTAATGTAGATAAAAGTGAAAACCCCCGAGGGGCCCCCACGCTGTAGAAATCCCTGCATTGTAGACTCTAATTTAATCATCCCTAGCCACAGAATTTCTCTGCATAAATTACAGCCTCCATGATAACATCGCTTTCACAAAAGGTGGCCTCTAATCGATCCACTCTCCCGGAGATGACTGGGCTTTCCAAGCAGAGGAGGGATGTGCAGCTTGAGAGAGCTGTGGATTGCACCTGGGGCTTCCGAGACTGAGCAGCCGCTGATGGCTGTTTGCTTATTCAGCTGATTTTACTTTTCACCTTGACATTTGCTAACTGTTTGGTTTTTATTTTCTGGGAATAGAGGGGTATTGGCGACTGCCTCCACTTAGGCATCTGGAGGAGGGGCATCTAGTGGATTAGCTCAGCATGGAAACTGGTGGTAGAAGCCTTTCTCAGCATGCATCTATCTCCTGCCCCCCTCCTCTCTTTCTCCCAGTCCCTAAAAAACATGAGTTCTTTTTTTTTTAATGTCATTTTCATGTTTTGGGGGTATGCTCAAATATGACTGAGAGCAATGTCCGTTCAAGCTGTGATGAACATGTTTGGGGTTCTAGCCTCCCTTCTCCCAGACATTAGCACCCAAAAGAAGTCTTTCTCTGGACCAGGGAGCATGCTTTGAAATCCTTCCTATTGAAGGGAGGCCCTCAGTCAGCCATTGGTCTGTACCTGCTTTGTAATGACTGAGAACACTCTGGATGATCCCTTTGAAAGAACATGTTGGGGAAGATTCTCCCAGAAGTAGCTGGTCTCCATCCTTGGAACTTTGTCCCACAAAGAACTTCAGACCAAAGGACTATAAGAACTGGTCAATACACCACTCTTCACTTCAATGGGGTTCATTTGGGACAAATTAATCATTTGCACATGTTCTCAAATGGAAGGGTGCTTTTAGTGTTAAAATTCTCAAAGGAGATTGCGCCTCACACGCACATGTGTAAAGAAAGACTATATATTTATATATATATATATAAATATAATATATATTATTATATATACACATATATATGTATATGCCAAAAAAATCTATTAGGCACTGTAGCATAACTTTTGACTCTGTTATTGGGGTCTTTTTCCTACCTATGCCATCCCTACCCTGTCCAACTCCCCAATATAGGAAGGAGAGAAAGAAGGTTAGAGGGGAAAGGGACCCCAATAGCGTTAGATTGTGATTAGGGGGGTTCGAGTTCCTCGGTACAAATTTGATCTTTGTTGCGAGGATATCTCCAATGGACAGCCAGCAATCCAGCAAACAGCAGCAGCAGGAGGAGGAACCGTGACCACCGTCTCCTCTCTCAGGGCTCTGGCATTTATCATACACTTGCAGACACTATCAGCAGCTGGCAAAATCACGTCCCTGCCAGGGCACAAAACAAATAGTTAGCTGCTATGGACAATCTGAAGCGTCCCCATACTCTACACCAGGGATTAAAACAAAACACATCCACATAACATTTCTGTATTTTAAAAGAAACCAAACTTCTCAATACAGTGCACAAGCATACAACAGGTATTTATTTAATAAAGGCAAAAGGATTGAGTGAAAATTCTGCAAACTGTCACAGTCCTGCATGAATGTGTTGATTAAGCTGCGGAGGTGTTCCAGTGGATAAGAGAGTTTTCTTAGTAAGCATGAAGGCCAGGTTTCAAATACCCCAAACCCACATAAAATCTGGGATTTGCTTCACACACCTATAAGCCCTGGAGGGAGGGAAAGAACCTTTGCTGGGGTTTGCTGGTCAACTGTTGAGCAGCAGTGAGCTCTGGATTCGATGAAAGACCCTGTCCCAAGGAAATAGGCAGAGGGTATAGACCAGGACACTCAACATTCCCCCTTTGACCTCTTTACATGTGTGCCAGGGCTCAAGCCTTGCACATATGTGTACAACCAAACACATACAATGCTGTAATTGTAAACAATTCAAATTTCTACTGTAGTTTGCAATCCTGGTAATATAATAACATCATCCCTGATAAAATATCAACACAGAGAAACATAGATATTTATTTTTTTTTGGGGGGGGGAGAGAGCTGGAGACAGGACATATATGTATGTATAGGCAAAGGCAAATTGCAGATGCTGGCAGGGGCTGCTGGCCTGCTGTCCACACTGTGTCTACACAACGGTGTTCAGGAGCCAAGATGCTGAGTGTAATGACACAGGGAATCCGATACACCCTTTGGATGGTAAAGGTTTTTATGCACGTTCTGCTTCTGTATAAATAGGAAGGCGCTGAATAGAGGAAATAAACAGCCGTGGTGATGACTAAAGCCCAACAGCAAATGTTCCTTTCTGCACTACTCACCCTTCAGCCCTCACTATGATGTTAAGAGCTAGATGTGTCCCTGACAATCACTGTGTCCAAGTTACACATACAATGTGTAACTTGAAGTAGTGAGGCCGAGGGTTCTTTCCAGGAAAATGTGCCAAGGTGTGAGCCTCACTTGTGTTCAAAGAAAGGCTAGATCATTCTGGAAATGGATCTTAGCCCAACACTTGCCAATTTTGTTTGTATATACTTCACACAATATACATTGATGTCACTCTTTACCTTAAGAAAGGCTAATCTGATGAGACAATCCCATGGGTTTTGTCTTTTGCTATAAGTAGTTTCTTTGCTGGATGCATCCTTGAAGTCAGAGAATTATCACCCCTGGTCTTGGAGACCTTATTCTCTGAATTTCCAATTTGTTGTTTTCATGACTTTTCTGTGTAACTCTGACTTCTTCATTCTCAGTGAAAGAGTCTTCATCTTTGTGTGTGTGTGTGTGTGTGTGTGTGTGTGTGTGTGTGTGTGTGCCTGTGCATGGAGGCTACAGGCTGACACCAGATGTTTCCTTAAGACAGCTTTCCACTAAATTTTTTTTAAGACAGAATTTCTCAGTAAACTTGGAACTCATGGACTTAGCTAAACTGTCTCAGTGAGCTCCAGGGGCCCTCCCGTCTCTTCCCTCCCACCCCACTGCTGGCATCACAGACGCACATTACTGCTTCCAGCTTTTTACACTGGGCACTAGGGACCAGAACTTAGATCCCGAAGCTCAGACCCCAGGCACCTCACCCACTGAGCCACATCCCAGACTGGACAGTCTTCATCTATAG